TTGTTTGGTTCTCTTTGTGAGTCTTAGAGCTTATGGTCATCTTGATGACAAGCTCGAGTTCATCGAAAACAGAGTTCACATGCATCTTCTATGATGTTTTCGATATTGGAGGTTTGCCGGTTCTTCTTGGTTGGAGGTTTCACTCCTCTATTTGTTGGCATACCTCCCCTGCCTCTTCTTACTATAACCAGTCGTTGTTTTGATGCTACTCGTCGTCTTGTTTCCAACAAGCTTGAGTTTGCTCAATTCGGAGCTCATATGCAGAAGTTATGGCAGTTCTTGCTTTCTTGAGAGTGGCTTTTGTCTAATCCCAGCGGAAGTACCGCGAGCCCAAGCGGTAGTACCGCTTGGAGCTCTTAGCCGTAGTACCGCTGCAGTGCCGCTCTTCTACCGCCTCAATTTTCGGTCCTGCTCTTTTCGTGTCGGGTTTAGCAGTAGTTGCACGGCAGTAAGGCACGGTAATTCCGCCTAAGCGGTAGTACCACTCCGGTCGGGCGGTAGTACCGCTACTGCATTACCGCTGTCGTACTCTGCTCTGCCCTGCCTCTTTTGGTCCCGTGTTCTGCTCCTCCAGCGGTAGTACCGCTGGGGTGAGCGGTAGTACCGCTCATATGCGGTACTACCGCCCCAAGGTTCATGTTGTGTTGCTCCTTTTCCCTGTTTCTTCTGCCCGAGCGGTAGTACCGCTCGTGTGCGGGCTGAGCACATAACGGTTGGATTTTCCCCCTCCTATAAAAGGAGGTCTTCTTCGCCAATGAACCTTATCTTTTGAGCTCGTGTTCTTCCCCATTGTTGACCTTCTTCGAGCTTGCTAACTCTCAATCCCTCCATGGTTTCTTGCTAGTTTCTGAGGGAAAAGAGAGAGAAGATCTAGATCCACATTTCCACCAATCACTTTCTCCTCTATGTGAGGGGAACCCCTTGGATCTAGATCTTGGAGTTCTTTGTGTTCTCTTTCTCGTTCTTCCTCTCATTTTCCTCCCTAGCATTAGTTGCTTCGGTGGGATTTGAGAGAGAAGGACTTGGGCACTACTTGTGCCCTTGTCATTGCATTTGGTGCATCGGTTTGAGTTCTCGACGGTGATACGTGGAAGTGAAGGTTGAGAAGCTTATTACTCTTGGGTGTTTGGGCACCCTAGAGCTTGTTCCTCTTGGGTGCCTTGGCGCCCTAGACAGTTGGTGGTGTTCGGAGCTCAATCATTATGGTGTAAAGCTCCGAGCAAGCGTCGGGGCCTCCAATTAGGTTGTGGAGATCGCCCCGAGCAATTTGACGGGTATCGGTGACCGCCCCCAAGGGTTGCCAAAGTGTACGGGTTCGGTGACCGCCCCCAAGGGTTGCCATTTGTACGGGTTCGGTGACCGCCCTCAAGGGTCCCTTAGTGGAATCACGGCATCTTGCATTGTGCGAGGGCGTGAGGAGATTACGGTGGCCCTAGTGGCTTCTTGGGGAGCATTGTGCCTCCACACTGCTCCAAATGGAGATTAGCATCCGCAAGGGTGTGAACTTGAGGATACATCATCGTCTCCGCGTGCCTCGGTTATCTTTTACCCGAGCCCTTTACTTATGCACTTTACTTTGTGATAGCCATATTGTTCTTTGTCATATATCTTGCTATCACATAGTTGCTTATCTTACTTAGCATAAGTTGTTGGTGCACATAGGTGATCCTAGTTGTTTTAGGTTTTGTACTTGGCAAATTAACCGCTAGATTTATTTCGCATTTGTTCAAACCTAAACCATAATTATTTTAAAGCGCCTATTCACCCCCCTCCCTCTAGGCGACATCCACGATCTTTCAAAGAGGAGGTTATCTTTTTATGAATAGACACGATGTATTTTTAGGGTAAATACCCGTATCGAGTTTTGGGGGAAGCTGTCTAAAAATCCCTAAGTTTTGGAGGAAGCTTTAGAAAACCTCTGTGTTGCGATTTCTCTGTGAGGAAATTGTTTTGCGCATGAGTACCGTCGTTGAGATTGGTTTTCTCGTGATGTGCCGCAAGGTTCAAACCCTCTATTTCGTGTACATCGCATGCGCGGGCGAGAGGTTTCTGCTATTGGTGGTGGAGTGTCGTGAAAGGTCGGGCCGCAACAACGGATCGGATCTTGCCACGAGGTCCGGTCGACATCAGGTGGTATCGGAGCAAGGTTGTTCACGATACTGTGCATAAGATGACTGGTTTATCATGGAAGCTAAGCTATGGATTTCAATTGGAGGAGGAAGGCCGATGGGATGGACTTTTTCATACTCGTGTTGTGTTACAAAAGAGATCATGTGCTATGATAATTGACCACATGAGTTTGATCAACGCGGCAAGCATCGAGATGGTGGAGAAGTTGGAACTACCAATGACACCACGCCTACAATCATACTCATTCCGTTGGGGTCATGAAGAGCTCGGTGTCACACATCAAACCAAGGTACCGTTTTCGTTGGGAAATTATTTTTGCACGGTTGTGTGTGACGTGATTCCGGCTCCGATGGTTTCATGTCACTTATTGTTAGACGAGCCATGATACAAAAAGCACGATATTGTGTATGATTGTCAAACACACACATATACCGTGAAGAAGGGTAAGAAGTACGACCTAGTGCCCATGGGTCAGGAGCGTTTTAATTCTTGGTGGAAAGAACATCTCGAGAAGATGAAAGAGCAGAAAGAACAAGAAAGGAGGAAGGTCGAAGGTGCTACAAATTTGACGGTCAACTTTCCGTCTACAAATAACAGTTCTATCGGAGAGATATACTCGAAACCGAGGACGATTTCGTTTCAAGGGGGAAAGGATGATACGAGCACACCAATCATTAGCAATATTAATCCAGCCGTTAATGATGTTTTAGTTATGCCGAATCTAAAAATTAATGAGAAGCGGTGCAAAGTTGAGGATAAGCGTATTACTGTGACCTATACGTCTCCATATCTGCAAGAATTGGACGCCATCTATTTTGCATGGGGATCAATGGAAGTTGAAGTCCGTGACTATGCCATGGATCAAAGTAATATAAAAACGGTTTTGTTTTCATTGAGCAAGTACACATGCATGCAATCCAAGGCGTACGTACATATAAGGAAAGAAAAGGTTTGCAGCAAAACCATACATGTGCTAGTGCATGTGGAAATAAAATATGTTATTTCTTTATGTTTCCATGTCCACCAGAGAATAGATACATGGCCAGGACTCTGCTGCCTCGAGAGTTTCTTTCCTTGTGCGCTACTGGATGGGGTCCTCCTCTTGTTACCACGTACTCAGGTGCATCAAAAGAGTAACTAGAGTTTAAGTCGGTCCTATAGTTTAATTAGACAGTTGAGATCTTGCCGAGATGTAAAAGGCAAGATTAGATATGGAAAACTCCAAATTAGTTTTTTTCGTTTGTTTAATTCAAGGGTCAAAGATAGAAGGTACGGCCAACTTAAGGGCCAAGTCTAGGTAGATAATCCACGGATATAAAAATAATGTGTGCGTATGATGTAAAGGGGAGGTTATCTTTTTATGAATAGACACGATGTATTTTTAGGATAAATACCCGTATCGAGTTTTGGGGGAAGCTGTCTAAAAATCCTTAAGTTTTGGAGGAAGCTTTAGAAAACCTCTGCGTTGCGATTTCTCTGTGAGGAAATTGTTTTGCGCGTGAGTACCGTCGTCGAGATTGGTTTTCTCGTGCTGTGCCGCAAGGTTCAAACCCTCTATTTCGTGTACATCGCATGCGCGGGCGAGAGGTTTCTGCTATTGGTGGTGGAGTGTCGTGAAAGGTCGGGCCGCAACAACGGATCAGATCTTGCCACGAGGTCCGGTCGACATCACAAAACATCGGACATCCGACGCGCACTGGACGTCCGGACCCTCGCGAGCCATCGGACGACCGGTGACCGTCGGACGTCCGACGCCTGTATGTCGCCCGCGTGTTGGGCCGAAGCCCACTTACCCTTCCGTCCACTAAGACTATAAATAGACCTCCTCATCCCTCTTTCTAGGGTTAGTATTGGTTTAGCTCATACTTGAGATAGAGTTTTGCTCATCCATCCGGATCTACTCCACCGAGAGAGACCGCGACCTCTACGAAGAAGATACATCTTGGATTCAAGACCCCTCACGGGAAGATCCCTCGCGGACTCAAGGCCTCCTCACGGAGATGAACTAGTCACCTCTTATATTGTCCTATGTTGGATTCGGATCGTGTATCTCTTTGTGTTTCAAGGATCTAGCATATGTGTGACGGAATCTTGTTGGTTTGAGTGATTCTCTCGTGTTTTCCCTCGTGATTCCCCTCGTGTTCTTCGTGTTCTTTGTAGGATCCCCTCCATTTCGTGAAAGATCAGGCATCTAGGTTCTACCCTACATCAGAGGTCCAACTCTTCCTTCAACTTTCGGGGTGGGACTAAACTTTAGCACCACCACTTGTCATTTTACACATGGGCTCATTTGAGATTTCAGATTTTGTTAATGGGTCATGCCCATTAATTCTAACAGAAGGAAGACATGAAAATATCATTCACGAAATTAGCTTATTGGATTGTGATTCCAGACATGCATCTTCATCTTCAAAGAAAGATTCCAGACATGCACCTTCATCTTCAAAGGGAGAAAATCAAATATCGAGGCATGCACCTTCATCTTCCAAGGGAGAAAATCAAATATCGAGGCATATAACCCTGCTAAACATGCTCTGGTCTTTTTGAGAGGTTGTCATGCTCTGGTCTTTCTGAGAGGTCATGTGTAGCTGATTCAGCTTCCAGACCTTAATTGTATCCCAATGAATATTATTATTGACTAATAAAATAAAGTGTGTTTAGCCTGAAAAAACAGCTCGAGGAAACCCATGCTCTGGTTATTTGGATATGGGGAATTAGATGTGAGATTTTAGAAAACGAGTTTTTGGAGGATTTTTAGGAAAACCAGTTTTTATTAGTTATTCTGTTAAGATAAGTACATACAATATCTTGTTTGGATGAGGAAACAGAAAAGCATGATTTTGAGTTCTTCGTTTTGGGGAGAGAAAAATTCATGGAGGTGCAGTGCTTCTTCGCTCTTGGCACCTACACGCACAGTGGTGGACGACCACACCGTAAACAGCTCTCCGGCGGAGGCGCGCGGTTGTCAGCGTGGCCGCCAGGGTGGTCGCGCTTATCGCCTGATTATGCTCTGCTTCCTTCACCGGTGTCATGCATGTTGGTCTAGGTCCCGTCGAACGTCCCTCCGGTGACAAATTCTTTTCGCCATGAAGATCCACGTACATGCAGCTCACATATGACCTACAAGCTGGAGCATATCTGCATATGGACGGCGTGGTTGTGAAGTCCACCTCCACCATGAAGGCGGCAGCCGCGGCCGAAGTCTACTGCCATCGAGGCGGTGGAGCATCGCAACCTGCTCCCGGGTACCTGGCCGAGATCGGCGAGCTGCGGTCACAGCCAGTGGAGTTTACCATGATCTGCACGTGGGACTTCGTTGAACTCCTAGTGCATATAGAAAACACGTTTATATAAAAACGTCTATTAGTCGTTTTTATATAAACTCGTTTTTTAGGCTTTTGGAAAACTCAGTTTAGTATATCCGCGAGTTTGTTAGATAATCCAAACAATGTTTTAGGTAGTTACACCAGAAATCAGGTTTAAGGGAAACTAGTTCTTTATAATCTAGCTATCCAAACAACCAGAGCGTCTCCCACGTACCTCCTCCCACGTACTGAGTACAGCGTGTATGTAGCATCTGTAACAACCCGTGCGTGTAGGAAAAATTGCTCATAATTTGCAGTGGAGCAATGGAGAGTTAAAAAGAATAACAGTATGCCGTCTCAAAAGGAAAACCAGTCTGGCACAATGAACAGACACATGATGCTGCCTCAGGTTTGGAGGTTTCGGTTGCCGCGACAACAATCCCTCCACAATTCAGTTTTAATTTCTCCATACACAAAAAACAGAATTCATTATTGATACCACATAAGAATAAGATTATGTTTTGTCCACCATATAAACTCCGGTGTATGTTCATTTGAAACTTCAGGCATACATACCCCAGAAAAACGTTCGGCGCAACCTGAAGCTTGTTGCCCTGTAAAACTTCTCTCTAAAATGTGGTCTATCTACACATCAAGGATCAGCTTCCTGAACTTCTCCATGTGCTCTGCCTGCAATGAGATGGCGATGGACAGGCTGCCGTCCTTGGTCGCGCTCGGGAGGACGAACGCCAGTCCCTCGTACGCGATGCCGCCAGGACCCATGAACACCGGCCGCCCCCAGCCGAAATCGGCGTCGTGGATCGGCAGGCGCACCCAGCTGGTGAGGCCGAGGTTGGGGCACCGGAAAGTGTGCGCTCCACGGACCAATGCTGACAGGTCCGGCTGCATCTCCAGGTAGTCCAGGGCTGATTGGCAGTAGTCGCTGGTCATCCTGTCTAGCGCTCCCTGGATGACCGCTGCTCCTTCTGCCAGCCCGCTCGTCACCTTGCCTGCCTCGGCGAGCGGGGTGGCAGTGAAGATGACATTCCCAAAGTAACCTTCTGGCAGCGGGGGCTGCAGCCGTTGTCGCCCATCGGTGGCACAATACAGCTTGGTGGGTTGTTCAGGAGCAAGGTTGCGCGCAATGGAGACGCAGCGCCAAACATGTGCAGCTAAGACTGCATACGTGCTGAACCTTGGCGCACCTTCACCTGTGGGGAGCTGCGAGCGCAGGCAGCCAAGCTCTGAGCGGGTGAGCTTGAAGATGTCCACAGCAGTGGGAGGCGGCGTTGGCTTGCCACTGAGAGCCTGAGGCACGGACGACAACATGGCTGGGGCAGGCTGATACTCAATATGTGGGTAAGATGGAGTCGGTGGATCACGAGCACGGACAAGAGTGCGGTCGATGAAGGGCATCACTGCAATCTTAGCTCCACGGCAGAGGTCAGACCACGAGTTGATGAAGTGCAAGCCAGACATGCCATCAGCAACATGGTGTTGCATCCCGACACCAAGGGAGACACCACCACACTTGAAGTAGGTCACCTGGAGTAAAATCCAAATCAAGGGGAGTTAGCCTCTTATATGTTCCATAACTTTCTTTACTATAAGTTGGTGATCAGAATGCATATTCCAGCTGCAGCTATCCTATCGATCAATAGATGGCTGAGGCAAGAAGCTAAGACAAATATATGAAACAGGATACAAATGAATAAGAAAGCTGCTTCAACTATCAGCCCATCGGCAGGATTAACCTGGATATTTGAAATGAACTACAGTACATGAAATAATTTAGCTTTTAACATCCAGTAGGATATAGTTGTTTATCTGACCTAGCACTTTGACTCCTAACGTCTAAACTAAACTATGCAATATCAGGTATAAGAACATGGTATAGTGGGTGTGAAGAGAGGTCATAAAAACTTGAAAATCAATAGGCTCATGCCAAACTTCAGACGGTAATTGCAAAGCTCCAACTAGGCACCCGTTGTGTACCACAAATCTGACAATTGATATAAATCGCTCTACAGTTTTCTTCCTTGTGCATGAGTACGGGGATAGCTATATTACATTTCAAGTTTCAGCGGTATATTCTGCATCCATCTCATTAACACAGTAGTAAAAAACTTGTGAAAACTTCCTTCTATCCATAGCATGTGCATCATACCCATGAGAAGATAAATATAAAAAAGGGCAGCCCGGTGCATGTAGCTCCCGCTTGCGCAGGGTCCGGGGAAGGGTCCGACCACTTTGGGTCTATAGTACGCAGCCTTTCCCTACATTTCTGTAAGAGGCTGTTTCCAGGAATGAGAAGATAAATATGATCAAAAAATTATTATTCAAGCTCCAAACGTGTTACTAAAGAACAATACAAGATTGTAGCTTCAGTGGGACAAATTGTAACACCCCTACATTTCTGTAAGAGGCTGTTTCCAGGAATGAGAAGATAAATATGATCAAAAAATTATTATTCAAGCTCCAAACGTGTTACTAAAGAACAATACAAGATTGTAGCTTCAGTGGGACAAATTGTAACACCCCAGCCACTCCTGGGCTGGCAGTAGTTACTCCTGGCTACTCTCTAGGCTCATAGATGCACCTTGTTGGAATGGGTGCCCTTTTAAGACAGGATGTCACACAAACGCAATCAAGCAAGAACCAACATCCTCTTTTCATATGAAGTTGGAAGTGGGCAAACTAACAACACCAACCATAAGTACTTGGTGTTGGTGCAAGCTTTGCTATTAGCTCAATAATAAAACTGAGGCTACTATGTAGGGTAGCTTTCTCCATAAATTTACTGACTATTAAACCATAGACCTGTAATTAATTTTCCTTCACATATAACAGTCTAAAACTCGGAAATGGTTCAGCTTGGATTGAAGAGAATCGTTGCAGTTTAATTTACTCAAGAAGTCAAGATGATATTTATCCTCCGGAGTATACTTATTGTTTAGTTATATACATTCGTTACTCCTTCTTTTGAGATGGAAAATCCTCTAGTTCATTCGTTCTTAATTCCCCAATTCTTTAAAAGCTCGCTTTTAAAAAGATTTCCAGTTAGATTATCTCAATTTGTTAGAACTTTTGTTGTATAAGCCTTGCCTTTGCATAAACAACATGATAAACATGTAGTTGGCATACACACAGCAATCCTAAAAGTCAACCTGCCACCTAATTATCTATGCATATATAATTTCTAAAATTTGGAAGAAACTGGATGTGCAAACAGTAGTAGGTTATTAAAATAAAAAATAGAGGTTGTCACATGGAACATGCTCCAGTTAGGCACTCATTTTCGTACCGACAAGTTGTGTGCACCCAAAGCAATAATATTCTGTATGTTGCCAACAAGCAAGTGAATAAAGAAATTGCAAGCTCAGCACAAACTAGGATTCAGTAACATGGCCAGTTGTGGTTCAGCTTTGTGTTATGTACTGTAGCATGTGAACAGTTCAGTTACAAAGAATATCGCTAGCCTGTTCAACAATTATTAGGATATTTAATTCTAGAGGTAAAGGGTTAGTGGCTCATAACTCTCAAGTTGGCTCCTCGTTGTTCCATAGGATCTGAAAGTCAAAGGTTGCTACTACTATGTCCTTTTGCACAGTCAAATTAGACAACATGGTGATGATAAACCTAGCCAATCCCAGTTTACTATTCCGGCACGAAATGGCAGGTGACGAAGATCACTAGAAGGTGGACCCGTGAACTGAATTGTGTCTCCAATCTCTATCAAAGGAATGGCTCAGAAGGTTCAACAGGCCAGAGGGTCCAGTTCTCAAAGAGGATGGTCCAACCCTAACATTTGGGCATATGTCAATATCGCCCTCAATAAGTCCATTCTGTCTAGATCAGGGACAGATGGTTAACAGTTGGGAACCGAAAGTTTGACCCGTCAACCCAAAATGAGCTATAAGGCCCTAGTATCCAATACTAATACAGACAAAAACCAAGCCACACTCACAATATGCATTGCATAATTTTAGCGGCGTCCCAATTACTTCCGATATCAAAGAGTCGAAAACTTCTACATATAGCCCAGTTAACAAAGCGCAGCTGTACTGATAATTTCTTGAGTTGGCAGGATTTAATTTTCATGAAACGTATAAGATCACTTGCCCACAAATCAGTTTGTTGACAGCAGTTATTTATCTATTGAAGGTGAACCACACAACACATTTCAATGGGCATTCACCCATATAAATGATGATATGGGACATTCGGAAGCAATTATAACCGAGTCTTCCACTAAGCATAAACAGCCAGCCTAAAATAGACCCCACTCACAAGAGCAGGACAAAAACTGGCCGGATGCAAGCTGCAACTATAGAGACGTACAGTTAATAAAGGCCCAGCTCGAACAGAATAAGGTGGTCTGCTGAACAGGTGATCAAATCAACACATCCAAACAAGGGTCCGTCCAACTATGAGGCATCCATTCAGGAGGCAGAGGTTATGCTAAATCTGAAGCCACTTAAAGCAGTGTCGCGTTCCTCATCCAGAAAGCTACAGACTGGTCCCTTACGTTTCCGTCCAGGGACAAATTGTAACTGGTAGTAGTAGCACGAGATAGAAATTGTGGTCACCTGAAGCACGAGGAGCGGGAAGGAGGATATGTCGTCCGAGTAGTCGACGGCGGGGATGAGGCGCTTGAGGTCCATGGTGGGCGCGAAGTCCCCGTAGTCGTCGACGGCCGCGCCGGGGGCGTCGGCCTCGACGAAGAGCACCCCCTCCCCGCTGCAGTCGATCTCGACCCTGCCGTCCTCGTCGCGCGCGAGGCGGCCGGCCATGGGGTAGAAGGGCACGAGCGCGTCGGCCAGCGCGAGGCGCATCCGGTCGGCGTCGAAGAAGCCGTCGGCCCCCGCCTCGGGGCGGCGGTAGAAGTAGACGCTGGGCGTGTGGAAGCGCGGGACCACGAGGTCGAGGTTGGAGTTCCAGAGCCTCTCCCGCGGCCTCTCCACCGCCGGCCGCACCATCGTGGACCGCCTCACCGTGATCGCCATCTGCCGCCGCATTCCAGGGACAGACAGCCCGTCAGCGAAACGGAAGGGGGAACCGCGACGGACGATAAAATAATAGAGGCGCGGCGACTGACCTTGGAAGAGGGGCGGACGGACGGCGGCGCGGGTGGATCAGATCTGCGGCGGCGTCGGCGGCGCGGCAGAGCCGACGGGATGGTTGGGTGGTAGCAGCAGCTCTTGGTGGAGAGCAGCTGGTGGGCGAGTGGGGGGTGGAGGTGGTTATATAGGGCGGGCGAGGGTGGGGGTGGTCGGGCGGAGCGGCGGGGTTCCTGTGATTGCGCTGCCTTGTGCGCTCTGCGGCGATGGGTGGGGAGTTGGTGGGATGGGGACGGGGAAGCGATGGTGACGGACGGCAAAGAGGAGCGGATTGTTTGGCAGATGGGCACGGCTCACCGCCCCGCCCCCGCCTGACACTGGGCGCGCTCCCAGGTTCCGGCTGCGCGTCGTAGTGCGGGGGCGGAGCGGCGGGCCGGACAGACATTCGCTGTCGACCGCCGTGCGCATCGCCAGGCAGGCCGGATGAACGGACGGAATGGTTAAAAACGGCTTCTCCTTCTTCCAACGTGACTGTTACGGCCGCTTGATGTGGCGAAAGGGGTATGGACACGTTTGGCTGCTTCACACATGTTACCACCCCGGGCCGCAGCTCACGCCACGCAAACGTGGCACACCACACCTGCCTTTTCCCTTTCATGTGACAACTAATAAATTATATTTCGTATCAACGAGAAAGGTCAGATGGTAATTGGCACGATCACAATTGTGGTTGCAACAAGCCGCAAAGAGAATGTGGTTAGACTAGTCACAGTGGGAGTAATTTCAGTAGTAACATCGAGTCCAACTCAGCAAATTTGCTTATGTGGCAATGAGTTAATAAGGAGAGAGATAGTTACAGTAACTTAGCTAGTTACTGTAACATCACATGTCCCAAAGCAATATGAGTCTATAACCTAATAAATGAATGCTTGCATGTTACTATACTTATGTTACTACCCACTATGAAGGTAGTAACATAGTCTAGGGATATGTGTATGTTACTAGTGTATGTTACTTTTCATTGTGGCTAGTCTTACAACTTACGTACAACCCATCACCTGCCATTCTTTAAAGGGTTTCCTTTGATTCACGGGGGTATATGATTATGTTTCGAGGCAGCTCACACAAGCGTGGGGGCAGACCACACTTGCTCTTCCTTTCTCCTCTTCCGTAGCGAGTTAAATACACTCACGGTACCTGTACTTTCTGTATAAACTCACTTTGATGACTGTATTCTGTCGACCGCAAATTATGGTCATTATGTTAACGTTTGTTGCTCACCATACGGTCACTCGCGTCGAACACGGCCGTATTTGGACAGCTGGCGCTTCATTTTTGTAGTTAGATCTCTGGCTTTCATAATCTCTCCCTCATATCCCTATCTTTCGTTCCCCACTCTCCTCCCCACGCATTCCAAATCCCTAGCCAAATGACGCCGCCCCAGCCATCTCGGCCTTGCCGCCGCCGCCATGCACCTGGTCGACCCTCTCTGCATCTCTGTCGGCACGCGGGATATCTCCTCCGCCGCCGCTTTCTGTCCCGTTCTCCACCGCTGCTTTTTGTGTCGTCCTCCGTCGTGAGCTCCTCCACGAAGGCCATGTCCAGCGCGAGCTCGTCCGGTACAAGCGGCGTTGTTGCTATTGTGCTTCCTCTAATCAAGTGCCCTGACTGCGGCGTGCTTGTGAAGCGATTCTTGTCGCAAACCCTGAAGCATACAAACATCTTCTTCTACAAATGCATGAACCATAATGTGAGTAACTTCTGCCATCTTCTGCAAATCCATTAGTGTTACTGTCTGCATTTGTTCATGGTTTGTTATTGTTTCCGGTGCAGCCAAAGAAAGGGGGTTGTGATTTCTGGCATTGGGAGCTCTCATATGTTCTGTATTTGGTGAAACATGGTCATCTGGGAGGGCATGAGCATCATGTTGGGCAGGGCATGGCCAGTAGGGAGAAGATGAGCATCAGGGAGGACATGGAGGGCTAGGGCATGACCATCATATGGTGCAAGATCAAGAAGGGATAAAAGAGATGAGAAGGTTCGTAGTTGCAATAGGAAATGAGATTGTGGTTGTGTTGAAGATGATAGTCGCTTTGCTATTTGCACTTGTTGTGTTCTTTGGAGTTGCAGTCTTGAAGATGTGATCTTCAATATGCAAAGACATGTGTTGGGGTAATATGGATGTAGGAAATTATGCAATTTATCGAGTGATCTTTGTGTTCTTTGTGATGAATGAATTTATGTTCGATGTGATCTTTGTGTTTGCTATGATATGTGTTTGGTAAGGTGGATGTGAATTTAAGTTTTATTCATGTAAAACATTATGAATAATAATCTTCCGGCTCGCCTTTGAGCCTCGATGCATTCATCATCAACAATCTCCCGACTCGCCTTCGAGCCTTGATGCATTCATCATCAACAATCTCCCGACTCGCCTTCGAGCCTCGATGCATTCATCATCAACAATCTCCCGACTCGCCTTCAAGCCTCGATGCATTCATCATCAATAATATTCTGACTTGCCTTCGAGCCTCGATGCAATCATCAACAATCTTCGGTCTCGCCTTCGAGCTTGGATGCATTCATCATCAACAATCTTCTGACTCGCCTTCGAGCCTCGATGCATTCATCATCAACAATCTTCCGACTCGCCATCGAGCCTCGATGCATTCATCATCAACACAACATCACAACATGATCAACATGGTCAACATGGTCAATACAAAACATCATAACTAGAAACATCTAAAAGAAGAATAGGACACATGAACATAAGCATTACAAAACATTATAAATCAGAATATGACACATAAACAAGGATTGTAACATGATCAACATGCTTCATGACATATCAATATCCAATTCAGAAGCATTACAAAGTTGAGATTCATACTGCATTTGGTATGAGTAGAATGAAGCTCAACTACATGCTCCATCTGAGCACCAAAATGAAGATCATCAGTGCTTTGTTCAACAACAAAATGAAGACCATAGTTTTACTAATCACCATACTTAAGCAACTAAAGTATAGAATGAACATTCATCTCAGATCACCAAACATGTTCACCCTCTTGGGCTTCTTTGTTGCTGCTTCTTTCCTTTTTGCTTGTGCAGAAGCAACCCTCTTTGCTGCTGCTTGCTGCTTTTTTGCTTGTGCAGCTGCTAACTTCTCCTCAGCCTCCCTCTGCTTTGCTTGTTCATGTGCTTCTCTCCTTGCAATTGCAGCCTTCCTCTTTCTTCTATCTCTGCTGCCATTTGTTGTGCTTTTCTTGCCTTCTCTTCTTCTTTCTTTGCCAGTGCTTCTGCTCTCTTCCTTGCCTTCTCTTCTTCTCTCTGTCCTATTGCTTCTGCTCTCTTCTTTGTCATCTCTTCTTCTTTCTTTGCCAGTGCTTCTTCTCTTTTCTTTGTCTTCCCAGCTTCCTTCTTTGCCTTCTCTTCTTCTCTCCTGGCAAGCACAGCAGCAGCTTGCATCTCATGGGACTGATACATTTGCTCCAGTGTTGCATCTCTTTGAGGCACTTATGGCCACAATGAATAATTACACCATGTCTTGTAATTCTAGTTCCACCCCTCCCATCTGCAACTTCCTCAAGAGCCCTCCTCCTATTATGACCTGGGTTTGTAAGTTTTTTGACAGGAGAAGGGCGCGCCAAGGGGGGAGTCCTACTCCTACCAGGAGTAGGACTCCTCCTTTCCTTGTTGGAGTAGGAGAGAAGGAAAGAGGAGGAGAGGGAGAAGCAAAAGGGGGCTGCACCCCTTGTCCAATTCGGACCAGAGGGGGGGGGGGCGCAGGCCTCCTTTCTTTTGGCCTCTCTCCTCTATTCCCGTATGGCCCAATAAGGCCCATATACTCCCCGGCGAATTCCCGTAACTCTCCGGTACTCCGAAAAATACCTGAATCACTCGGAACCTTTCCGAAGTACGAATATAGTCGTACAATATATCGATCTTTACGTCTCGACCATTTTGAGACTCCTCGTCATGTCCCCGATCTCATCCGGGACTCCGAACTCCTTCGGTACATCAAAACACATAAACTCATAATATAACCGTCATCGAACTTTAAGCGTGCGGACCCTACGGGTTCGAGAACTATGTAGACATGACCGAGACACGTCTCCGGTCAATAACCAATAGCGGAACCTGGATGCTCATATTGGCTCCCACATATTCTACGAAGATCTTTATCGGTCAAACCGCATAACAACATACGTTGTTCCCTTTGTCATCGGTATGTTACTTGCCCGAGATTCGATCGTCGGTATCTCAATACCTAGTTCAATCTCGTTACCGGCAAGTATCTTTACTCGTTCTGTAACACATCATCCCACAACTACTCATTAGTTGCAATGCTTGCAAGGCTTATAGCGATGTGCATTACCGAGTGGGCCCAGAGATACCTCTCCGACAATTGGAGTGACAAATCCTAATCTCGAAATACGCCAACCCAACAAGTACCTTCGGAGACACCTGTAGAGAACCTTTATAATCACCCAGTTACGTTGTGACGTCTGGTAGCACACAAAGTATTCCTCCGGTAAAAGGGAGTTGCATAATCTCATAGTCATAGGAACATGTATAAGTCATGAAGAAAGCAATAGCAACAAACTAAATGATCAAGTGCTATGCTAACAGAATGGGTCAAGTCAATCACATCATTCTCCTAATGATGTGATCCCATTAATCAAATGACAACTCATGTCTATGGTTAGGAAACATAACCATCTTTGATCAACGAGCTAGTCAAGTAGAGGCATACTAGTGACACTCTGTTT